CCATTAGACACTTAGTAGCCATCTTGGTTATCAGATTTATGTCATAGTATTGCAAAGTTTGTGTTACTTATTTTCCTTAGTAATAGTCCCAAAGCACAAGAGTAGTGCTGCCAATTAGGATATGCTAAACAGAAACCATAAAGTGCATCCTTTAAGTGAAAAGGTAAAAGTTATTAACTAAATAAGGAATGAAAAAAAAAAAAAAAAAAAACTATATGCTGAGGTTGCTAATATCTATGGGAAGAACAAATCTGCATCCTTTAAGTGAAAAGGTAAAAGTTATTAACTAAATAAGGAATGAAAAAAAAAAAAAAACTATATGCTGAGGTTGCTAATATCTATGGGAAGAACAAATCTTCTATCTGTGACATTGTGGAGAAGGAAAAAGAAATCCATGCTAGTTTTGCTGTCACACTTCAGACTGCAAAAGTCACAGGCACAGTGCATGATAAGTGCTTAGTTGAGATGGAAAAGGCATTAAATTTGTGGATGGCAGACATGAACAGAAACGTGTTCCAACTGGTGGCAATCAGGTTTGGTACTATTCAAGCTATCAGACATTCATTGGGGGTCCTGGAATGTATCCCCTGTGGATAAGGGGGGACTATGTATTTCTATATATTGGCAAAAATCACACTAATACATACGCACACACACTTTCACACAAAAATAGTTGGAAAGCCCTTGTACTTTGAGGCTAAAGATATATTTCTGAAAGTCATTCATTCAGAGGTCATAGTTCAAGTCATGAGTAAATTAAAATTTACCAAGGTAAAGACATTTAGAAGAAAATCACAAGTTCAAAAACCACTGTGGAGGAAGTTGACTTATGAAGAAAACGAATAAGAGGAGTAAAGAAAACACAGGAAAGGTACAAGAAGGTTATAAAAAAGCTGGTGCAAGACATCAGAGATCACAGTATTATCAGAATTTTCAAGAAACTAAAAAGTATAATTGAATTGGTATAAAAGAAAAAAATTAATTTGTTAAGTTCGTAGAACTAAAATATTAAGAGTTAGTTCAAGCCCCTGGTATTCTTTGTCTGGTCTGTAGCCCTATTATCTCATCATTTGATCTTTTATCTCATTTATTTGTGAGCTTCATTCCTGTGCCAGCTTTTTCCATGGAACAGAAATCTATAGAAATTTTGGATTTTGCAAGTATCATACCATCCAGACAGAGAATTCTTTCTTCTTCCACCACGAAACCTAGACCCTAGGCTTCAGTTGAATTGGGCCAAATTAGATCAAAAATACACAAAGAGCCAGTCATTATTGCTAAGCAGGAGGGTGAAATTCTGATTATTATCTTAGACCTTGGTCTGCCTCTGGGGTCAGTTTTGTCCCCTAGATGATATTTGCTCATAACTAAAGATATATTTGGTTCCCACAACTGAGGAGATGCTACTGGTATCTAGTGGGTAAGGGCCAGGGATGCTGCAAAACAACCTACAATCCTTAGGACAACCCCATAACAAAGAACTATCTGGTCCAATATGTCAATATTGCAGAGGTTAAGAAACCATTAAACCAAGGGTTCTCAAACTTGAACCTGCATCAGAATCACCCGGAAAACATGTTAAAACAGATCACTGCTTCCCATTACCAGATTTTCTGTTTCAGTTGTTTTGATCAGTTGTTTCTGATTCAGTTGTTCGAGGGCAGGAGAAAACTTGTTTTTCTAACAAACTGCCAGGTGCTATTGTTGTACTGCTTTGTATATAACATTCCAAGAAACAGACTAATCAAGGCCTACAAGTGTACCTGAGGTGCAGTCAAACATACAATAACAGCATGTCTATTCTATAAGACAGGATAGTGTTGAATGCATTCTGATGAAGTAACCAGTTATAATAGAGGGGAGAGCCAACTGTGTTTACACCCATTTCTTATCTTGCTCAAGTTCTAAAGCCCATATTATCCTAAAATTTCCAGGTAGGAGAATTGCTCCTAATACCCTCCTGGCTTCTTCAAAACTTCTACTTGCCCCAACATCTCTTTCTATGTCATGTAAAATATATAAACTCAAATTTCTCATGACCCCCCAATCTGTTTGAATCAAGATGAGTTCGGATGTTTTAAAATGGGTTGTTCTGGAGAAATACTGAATAAACAAAACAATTAATAAAGACAAACATAAACCAAAGATATAACTGAACTGATACAGCACAGATATCAAGAACTCTAAGAGCAAGAACAGATCCATTGATTCTTTTCCTTGACTATATCACAATCCACCTGAACTATTCCTCTTAACCACCCTGCCTCTCACTTATTCTCAGGAAAAATGATAAGCAGGATTCCCTTCCATTGACTCTTTGAAGCTAGGCTATAGTTGTAGTAAGGACAAAAAGTGTTTCTTTTTTTTCCTAGAGTAGCTCAGGGTAGAAACAAAGAAAGCATAGTACTCTTTTGGTTAAGTGGAAAATATTTTAGTAAAAAGAGGATAATCTGGAATACCAGCACAAGAGGTAAAAAGACGTAAGGACATGACTTTGAAAAAGATCATTCACTTGGCAGCTGTAGCAACTCAGATAATTTTGACTGAGAAAATGCATTTGCAGGTAAGGGACTTTTCCAGGTATTCACAAACAGAAATGCTGCCCTCAGATAACTTACAGATAGAAAGGGAAGAAAAACAAAAATAACTATAATGCTGTGAGTACATGTGAGTGGATCTATATGTGACACCAGACTAGGGCGGGTTACTTCCATTATAACAGTAGAAAAGGCTTCCTGGAGGAAGAAGCATATCAGTTGGGCCTTGAGGTTTAGAAAGTTATCCATGGAGAGACAGAGAAATTACATCAAAAAGCCTCTGCATCTCTGCAAATACAGTTATCCCAGCATAATTAGATTTAGCTTACTTAGACAAATGATAGCTAAGCAGAAGCTGAAGAAAACTTTTAAAATAGGAAGCCAAATGG